CTATAGTCCTGAAAACAGCTTGGTATTGGCACAAAAATAGACAGGTAGACCAATGGAATCGAATTGAAAACCCGGGTATTAACCCACACACGTACGAACATCTGATCTTTGACAAAGAAGCTAAAAATATACAATGGAATAAAGAAAGCATCTTCAACAAATGGTGCTGGCATAATTGGAGACTGGCATGTGGAAGAATGCAGATCGATCCATGTCTATCGCCATGCACAAAACTTAAGTCCAAATGGATCAAAGACCTCAACATAAATCCAGCCACTCTGAACCTCTTAGAAGAGAAAGTGGGTGGTACCCTTGAACGAATTGGTACAGGAGACAGCTTCCTGAACATAACACCAGTAGCACAGGCAGTAAGATCAACAATTAATAAATGGGACCTACTGAAACTGAGAAGCTTCTGTAAGGCAAAGGACACAGTCAGCAAGACAAAAAGGCAGCCCACAGAATGGGAAAAAATATTCACTAATCCCGCATCTGACAGAGGGTTGATCTCCAAAATTTAAAAAGAACTCAAGAAGCAAGTCTCCATAACACCAAAGGACCCAATTAAAAAGTGGGCTGCAGAACTAAATAGAGAGTTTTCAATAGAGGAGTCTAAAATGGCTGAGAGGCACTTGAGAAAGTGCTCAACATCCTTAGCCATCCGGGAAATGCAAATCAAAACAACTCTCAGATACCATCTCACCCCTGTCAGAATGGCTAAAATCAAAAACACCAATGACAATTTATGCTGGAGAGGATGTGGTGAAAGGGGGACACTCCTCCATTGCTGGAGGGTGTGCCAACTGGTTCAGCCACTTTGGAAATCAGTGTGGAGATTCCTCAGAAAAATGGGAATAAACCTACCACAAGACCCAGCAACTGCACTCTTAGGCATATATCCAAAAGATGCCCATTCATACAACAAAGATGTCTGTTCCACTATGTTCATAGCAGCTTTATTTGTAATTGCCAGAACGTGGAAGCAACCTAGATGTCCCTCACCTGAAGAGTGAATAGAGAAAATGTGGTACATCTACACAATGGAGTACTATTCAGCAGAAAAAAATAATGGAATCATGAGATTCGCAGGCAAATGGATGACACTAGAAGAAACCATCCTGAGTGAGGTAACCCAGTCACAAAAAGAGAAACATGGCATGTACTCTCTCATATATGGATTTTAGACATAGATCTGGGGAGTGCCAGCCTACAATCCTATGGCCAGAGAGTCTGGGAAACAGAAACTTTATTTAGTGGCTGATCGAAGAAGAGGCAGACTCCCTTGTTTAAGTACTGAGCTGAACTCAAGAAAGCCAGTAACAGAGAGGAAGGACTGATGATCAAAGGGATTAAGACTGGGCTGGTTTAACCCCCAGAAACAGCTGACCAGACAAAGGTTAACTCTTGAATCCCAGGCATTAGCCTGGGAAGCCAGCATGGGACTGATCAAGACCCCCTGAATCTGGGTGTCAGTGAGGAGGCCTAGGTAATCTATTGAGCCTTGGACAGCAGATCAGTACCCATCCCAAGTATACACACAGTCTCTGGACTCCCATAGAACAATGTGAGGTGCACTCTCACTCTGAACTCTTGGGGAAGGGTCTAGGTCCTGCCCTATATGAAATGACAGACTATGGAGACCCCCATGGAGGGCCTCACCCTCCCTGGGGGAATGAGGGGATAACCGGGGGGGGGATGGGGGGAGGGCACTGGAGGAGGGTAGGGAAAGGGAGAGGGACCTCGTACTGATTTGTAAACCTTGTTTCTTATCTAAATTTAAAATGGAAAATAAAAAAATATTATTAAAAAAATTTCTTTGGTTGATGAATCCATTTCTCTTAGTGTATCTTCAACACCTGAGATTCTCTCTTCCATCTCTTGCATTCTGTTGGTAATGCTTGTATTGGTAGTACCTGACCGTTTGCCCAGCTTTTCTATTTCCAGCCTTTCTTCAAATTGTGTTTTTAATTTGTCTCTATTTTAGTTTTCAACCCTTGCTCTGTTTGAATTTTTTCTTGCAATTTTCAGTTTATCTTTTCCTTCATTTTTTTCATTAATGAATTTTTTGTTTTGCTTATTCTTCCATTTCTTCCATTATTTGGTTTGCTTTTTCTTCCATTTCTTGTAGTTTTTCGTTTGTGTTTTCATCAATTTCTTTGAGGCATACACCTATGTCCTCTTTAAGGCCTCTATCATTTTCATTAAGTTGTTTTTATGGTCATTCACTTCTGTTTAATTTACATTTGAATTTTGGAGTCTTGCTGGTGGGTAGTCTCTAGAAACTAGGGGTGGGTGATATTTTTCTTCTGTTGCTGAGTGTGTTTATATATTGTCTCTTTCCCATCTCTTCTTCTTGTGGGTGCAGAAAGAGCAACTTACATGTATGCTAGTTAGAGGACCAGAGTTTCCATTCAGGGCGAGCTAGGAAGCCCAATAATCTGGTAGTCCTCGTCCTAATTCTGGTCCTGTGGTTGGAGAAGAAGACAAGGAATCTGGGTTGTTTAGCCTCCCACCTGGATCCCTGGTTACTGGTTCTACTGGTTTCATTGTCACATTGGTGGAAGAGAAGACCCAGGATCTGGGCTGCTTTGCTCCTGGCTGGATGGGAAGCTCTCTGAACTTCCAAGGCGATCCCCAGTAACTGGAATGCAGGGCCAGATGCAGGGCTGGTTTAACTTGCCCCAGCAGAGACACCGGTCCCCTGATCTCCTGGATCTGGTAGTTCTCGGGTTTCGTTGGTTGAAGAGAAGACCTGGAATATGGGCTGCTGGCTTTCTGCCAGTGTGGTAAGCTCTGTGCAGTTCCTAGGCGATACCCAGCCACTGGAATTCAGGACCAGATGCAGGGCCTGTTGTACCTGTTCCTGCCATTTGAGCTGGTCCCCTAGTCTCCAGGATCTTCTGGTTTCCTGTTCTTGTTGGTGGAAGAGAAGACCTGGAATCTAGGATATTCGGTTCCCACCACGTTTGGAAGTTCTGTGCAGTTTCCAGGTGAACCTCAAGCACTGGAATGCAGGCACAGATGCAGGGCCTGTTTTACCTGGTACTGACTGAGCTTCTGGTCCCTGGATCTCCTGGATCTGCTGGTTTTCTGGTTTTGCTGGTGGAATAGAAGACCTTGAATCTGTGCTGCTTGCATTGTGCCGGGATGGTAAGCTCTGTGCAGTTCCCAGGTGATATCCAGGCACTGGATCTACTGTATTCCTGTTCTTGGTGAAAGAGAAGACATGGATTCTGGGCTGCTATTCTCCAGCCAAAATTTAAAGCTCTGTGAAGTTCCTAGGCGTTCCCCAGACATTGGAATGCAGACCTGGAAGCAGGGCCTGTTTTACTTTGTCCAAATGGACCTGCTGGTCCCCTGGTCTCCATGACCTTCTGGATTCAAGGTCTTGTTGTTTGAAGAGAAAACCTGGAATATGGACTGGTCTCCTGGGTCTGCTGGTTTCCTGGTCTCCTTGGTGGAAGAGAAGACCTGGTATCTGGACTGCTCATTCTTTTTTTTAGAGGTTAATTACTTTATTATTGAATTATATTGTAAAGTCTACATCTAGGAATTAATAAATGCTTTGCATTTACATCAAGGACACATTTACCCTAGTGGAATAAAATAGACACAGACAAAAGACCAAGTACACTTTAAAATAAAGGCATGTTTTACCTGGCCCTATTTTTGCTATATTGGACCATACTTTTCCTATTCCAGACTGACCTTGGGTATAGTATAAGTCTCATTTATCTCCCCACATTTTTAAACATTAAATGAGGCTTCTCACAATTTTAAATTGTAAACAAAAGACTAAAAGCAATATGGGAAGCAATGTCTGAAAACAAAGGAAGAAAGATGGCTATTACCTTAGAGTGGAAAAGTTGAGTAAAACATGGCCACCCTGTGGCTCATCTCAAAAGAGACATTTTTACTCAGAGAGGCAAGCACTTCAGATCTAAGTCAGTTTCCCACATGCCCTACATGTTCTGGTCTCAATGGCAAAAGCTTACATAAAATGTCCATGAAATATCTAAAAGCTAACTACAATAATATAATATTGTGTGGTCTAAATATTCATCTTCAGCTTCCTCCTTTTTAAAAATTAAAATTATCTTTACATTTTGGATGTTATTAAAAATAATTTACATTTTTAGTGTGCTTTACGGTCAATGACTGTAAAATTGCAACTTAAATGACTAAGTTTAAATTTTTTTGCTTTACTTGATTCTACTAAAATTTAAATTTACTGCAACTTTAAGCCATACATGAGGTAAATTTCAGCTTAAAAATAAGACAACCACAAGGATATTGTTAATCACTTCAATCATAATGCCCACCTTATTTGAAATTACAAATGAAGCATTTGCTACTACATGTGATTTAAAAGCAACTGATATACTTTTAAATCAAATTACATCAGTATATTATATGGTTAAGACAAACAAAAACCCCATAAACACCCCTCCTCAACCTAAAACAAAAAATCCCTGGCAAAGTAATTTTTTTGATAATAGAAGACATTGACACAATGAATCCAAATGAAACAGAGGACCAGTGTTTAGTTCATAACTTCTAAACAAACATCCCTGCACACTTGTTTACCTAACGAATATTTTGATTATTTGTTGGACTGACAGGATAAATGCTCTGCTGTAGATAACAGTACAATGACAGCCTCATAGCCAGCTAACAGCTCTCCCGAATGCAGTCAGCTAATCGTAACTGAAAACAGGCGTCTATGCTGCCCTACAAGATCCCTGTGGAGAAGCAAGTGTACCTAAATGGTTTTAACGAAACAGGACTTTCAGGATATGAAACTATTTTAGGAAGCAGTATGACAGGGCTGCACCAGCAATGCCGTCACTGACAGAAGTCACAGAAGAGCTTATTGCTAACCCTTCCATGAACAACACACCGTCGCATTACAGGAAGCACAACTGGGTAACCCTCTCCAACTCAACTTCATTCACATTTGTAACATTTTTACTCGTAGAAAATAAGTTATAAATCTTTTCTGTAAGAATTCCAAGTATTTAATGTGTAGCGTCACATTAATTACATCACCATGTTTTGCCTTATTTTTCAAATACACGAAACAATGCATTTTCCCCAAAAGAGAAATAAGATGTCCACATTAAAAAAATAAAGCCTACATAAAAGTTCCAGAGCTAAAAAAATTATTCATATGGCACAGTGTGATCTCCAAATTTCAAAATATTGAAATGAGTTCCATGTATGCGTCTCGTTGGCTTTTCAATGCAGCACTGACTTTACAGAGGTGACACCACAATGTTAGTTCTTCAGGCAACAGCGGACACAAATGTTTTTCTACAGTTATTAAAAACAGGAGATCAAGTTGAATGTGCCGAAGTGACTTCCTTCAGTTGGGTATTTTACTGTCTTGAAGAAAATTAGTGAAGGGATTTCCTTGGTTGGTTTCCATAGCTTGATAGACCAAAAACAAAAAAAAAACTGCTACTACCACAAACAACAACATTTTTATCCACATGGGAATGGAGCGTCCCTTCTTCGTCTTTTCTGACTTGACATCCGCCAGGGGAGTATACTTGGGGACATACTTAGATGAAAACGATTCTTCCATCTGGAAGTCACTGAGCTCTAGCGGCCGGCCTGCAGCCCCTTTGATTTGTCTGCGGCAACTAGCAATAATTCCTGTTGGAGTAGATGCCTCATAAGGGAACATCTCCTTAAGAATATCCCTTTCTACTCTTCTCTCCTCTGTCTTTTCAACCACTTTGGCTCTCGGCAATGGTTTCTTTGGTGTTCTTCTGGGTATGTCTGAGAATTCAGTGATTGGCAGAATAGAAGATGTATGCTTGAAATTTCCAGTCAACCTATTGACAACTAAGGATTCGTTGCTTGAAGCCTTTATAGTTTCAGCTATGGGAGTACTCTCTGAAATTACTGCACCATCTATACGAAAATGTTGTGAAGTTTCCACCCTTTTTCTTGGAGTTCTTCTTGGCCCTCGTGTGGGCTCCCTAGTTAATGCCTGCAGAGGTCCGCCTTTGGAAGGTCCACTTGTCCATTCAGTCTCAGTTACTCCAGCTTGAGAATAGCTCTGGTTGTGCTCAATTCTTCTTTGCTTGAGTGTTACTGAAGTCTTTGCTCTGCCCTTTAGTGTCTCTCTCTTCTCAAGCTTGAGCTCTATTTTAGAGTCTTCATCATTGTCACTGTATCTGTCGGAGTCATTACTTCCATTCTGTCTTGTATTTTCTGCTGAGGAAGAGACTGTTGGCAGAGGAGTAGAAGATTGGGATTCTGCCCCCTGTTCCCTCAGTTTCAGCAGTGTTTGCTCATATAGCTTCCTGGTTGTCCCCACAATGGGACCAGGATTCACCCCGTATCTCACAAGCTGATACAGAAGGTCTTCATTAGAGAGCTCTGTCACATCTAGGTCATCGTTATCCTCTGGTCTGGGTTTGTCAGTTTTCTTTGTGTCTTTCCTGCTGACGGCGGCGCGGCCGCGGCCCGCGGAGGTCCCTGAGCCGAGCACCGGGGTGGGCTCGCGCTCCTCCTGGACTGCTCATTCTTGCCAGGATGAGAAGCTCTGTGCAGTTCCCAGGTGATCCCCAGGCACTGGATCTGCTGGTTTCATGGTCGTGTTAGTGAAAGAGAATATCTCAAATCTGGACTGCTTGGCTACCACCAGGATGAGAAGCTCTGTGGAGGTCCCACCTGATCCCCAGCCACTGGAATGTTGGCCTTGATGCAGGGCCTGTATTACCTGGTTCCAGCGGACAAGCACATTCCCCGGTCTCCTAGATCTGCTGGTTTGCTGGTCTCCTTTGTGGAGGAGAAGGCCTGGAATCTGGGCTGCTCAGTGCCTCCATGGATGGAAGCTCTTTGCAGTTCCAAGGCGATAGCCATGCACTGGACCTTCTGGTTTCCTTGTCCCGTTGGTGGAAGAGAAGACCTGGAATCTGGGCTGCTCTGCTCCTGCCAGGATGAGAAGCTCAGTGCCGTACCCATGTGAACCCCAGGCATTGGAATTCAGGACCGGATGCAGGACCTGTTTTACCTGGTACCGCCAAATGAGCTGTTCCCCTGGTCTCCTGGATCTGCTGGTATCCTGGTCTTGTTAGTGGAAGACAAGACCTGTAATCTGAGCTGCTCACTTCCTGCCTAGAAGGGTTGCTCTGTGTAGTTCCCAGGAGATCCCCATGCATTGGATCTGTGGGGTTCCTTGTCATATTGGTGGAAAAGAAGACATGAAATCTGGGCTGCATGGCTCCTGCCGTTCTGGGAATATCTGTGCAGTTCCCAGGCAATACCTAGGCACTGAAATGCAAGCCCAGATGCAGGGCATATTTTACCTGGTCCCACCGGAGCAACTTGTCTCATGGTTTGGATCTCCTCATTTACTGGTGTCATTGGTGCAAGAGAAGACCTTGAATGTCGGCTGCTCGCTTCATACCAGGATGGAAAGCTCTTAGAAGTTCCCAGGCGATCTCCAGGTACTGGATCTACTTGATTGCTGGTCTCATTGGTGGAAGAGAATACCTTCAATGTGAGCTGTTCAACTCCATCAGAGTTGGGAAGCTCTGTGCAGTTCCCAGGCAATAGCCATGCACTGGATCTGCTGGTTTCCTGGTCCTGTTGGTGGAAGAGAAGACATGGAAACTGTGCTACTCTGAACTGGCCAGGATGAGAAGTTCTGTGCCATTGTCAGATGATCCCCATTCACTGGAATGCAGGACCGTATGCAGAGCCTGTTTTACCTGGTCCTGACTGACCAACTGGTCCCCCTGTTCTCCAGGATCTGCTGGTTTACTGGTATCATTGGTGGAAGAGAAGATCTGGAATCTGGGCTGCTTGGGGCCTGCAAGAATGGGAAGATCTTTGCTGTTCCCTGGCTATTACCGAGGCACTCGAATTCAGGCCTGGAGGCACTGCCTGTTTTAGATTTCAAGCTCTAGTATAGAACACCACTAAAGAAAATAGTTTGGCATTGGCAAAAAAACTGACAGGTAGAACCAAAGTAATATAATTTAAGACCCAGTTATTAATACACACACCTATGAAAACCTGATTTTTGAAAATGAAGAAATATCATACAATGAAATGGAAAACATCTTCAAGAAACTGTACTAGAAGGTGACACGTGGAAGTCTACAGATAGATCCATATCCATTGCCATGCACATAACATAAATCCAAATGAATCAAGATCTCAACAACAAGAACACAGTCACATTGAAGCACTTAGAAGAGAAAGTAGGAAGTATAGTTGAATGCGTTGGCTCAGAACATTACTTGCGGAACATAATGCCAGATTGAGATGGATAATTAATAAATGGGATCTTCTCAAACTGAGAATTTTGTGTAAGGCAAACAACATAGTCAATGAGACAAAAGGTTAGCCGACAAAATGGGAAAAGACATTCAAAAACCCACTTCTCATAGAGGACTAATCTCAAATATTATACAAAGAACTCAAGAAGATACTCACAAAAACACCAAATAATCCAATTAAAAATGGGGTGCAGATCAAAATAAAGAATTGTCAACAGAGAAATGTCAAATGGTATAAAGTCATTTAAAAATTGTTCAATATCCTTAAGCATTAAGGCAATGCAGATCAATATATCTCTGAGTTAACATCTTTGCCTGTCATGATGGGAAAATAAAACCACAAGTGTCTGCTTATACTGGGAGGATGTCGCGAAAGTGAAACACCACATTATTGCTGGTGGGATTGGAATCTTGTACTGTCACTTGGACATTAGTATGGAATTTTCACACAAAAGAAAAGTGAATAAGTCTACCTCAAGATCCAGAAATTCATTTCTTAAGCATATATCCAAATGCTGCTTATTCATACCACAAGAAATGTGTTCAAATTTGTTAATAGCACAACAATGTGTAATAGCCAGAATCTGGAGGCAAACTTGCTGCCCTTCAGTTGAAGAGTGGAAGAAGAAAATGCGGTACATATAAACGTTGAAGGACTTCTCTGCAGTAAAAACAATGACAAGTTGAAATATTCAGACTAAGGATGGAACAAGAAGAACAGATCCTGAGTGAGGTATCCCAGACACAAAAAGAGAAATATGTTATGTACTCACACATATGCAGGTATCAGAGATAGAAAAAAAGGCTAACTAGCCTACAGTCTATGAACTCAATGAAGTTAGAAATCAGGTAGATCCCTAGGAGACACATACATGACTGTCCTGAGAAAAGGATAGGGAGAAGATCTCTTGTGTAGGTCAGGAGGGAAGAAGGTGGTTGGAGCAAAAAGGAGCTTAGCAGGGAAAGTGGTTAGAGAACATGAAGGATCAGTAAGAAAAGGTTGGTGGAGTACACAGAAGGACAACAAATAAATTGATACCTTTATAGAGAAAGCCATTATGTAATTAAAAAGAATATAGGCACTATGAAAATTCCCATTTACAAGGATGACTCCAACTAAAATCTAAGAAATAGTTTAGAGGTTACCTAAAATACACTTTCCCTATAATAAGATTGATTATTACCTTAAAGGCCAGCATTGGATTCATCCATTAGCTGATGGAAGGAGAAGCAGAGAGTGACAGGAATGCACTGAGCCTAACACCTTTTTTCCATTTGTGCAGAGGGAAGACTGCTGAACAAGGAAGCCAAGACCATGTTGGAAAAAACACAGAGAAACAGCAAATCTGAGTAAGGGTGAGCTCACAGATTACAGACTGACAGGAAATCTGCACAACACCAAAACAGCATCCCTAAACATGTGTGTCAGTTTGGGGACTTGTGCAGATAATGGGGCCATTGGAAGTGGAACCAGTATTTATTTATGTTGCATGAAATGGGTTTTTGGACCCCTTTCAACATAGAGGGATGCCATCTTGGCATAGACACAGCAGGGAAATTCTGGATTTGCCAAAATTAGCATGAAAGACTTGAAAATCCCCTATGGGAGGCCTCATTCATTCTATGGAGAGGATTGGTTGTGATGGGGAGATGACAGAGGAATGGCAAGATGGGTACAGGAGTGAACTGAGATTGTAAGATAAAGAAACACTTGTTTCCAATTTGCATTAAAAAATTAAAATCTGTCAATATGATTGCTGATATTTAATGGCAGGGAATGTATAACAAAACTTTTCAACTAATTATTGTCTAAACTTAAACAAATGCAGAATCTACTAGAATATAACAATATTAAGAACAACAACAAAGTCATGTCCATATTATCTTCTCATCCTAGGGAGTTTAGGCAACAATGAGAATTCCATTCTTTACTTGTTGGTGTCCACAGCATATGTCTCTTTGATGTTCTTTTTGGATTCTTTACTCTGAGTTTATAATGATGGGATTGTTCCTAACTTGAAAACTTGATGGAAAGCTTTAGATTTAGGACACAGTCATTAGGTGTTCACATTAGTTTCTGGTGCCACAAATTAAAACAGAACAATGCTATCTTGATGAGAAGAATAATATCTTATTCTCCTTTGGTCATAGCAGGCTGATAACATCTGAGATCTCCTTGATGAGAAGAAAAAAAAAGGTAAGCTTGGATAGAAATTGGCATGTAGAACAGTATATGATAAAGGTCTGAATTTTCTTGGGAAATGGTTGTGATTATGGGTCCCATTAGACTGAAAATGTTTGCTAGATACAGGAATGATAGGAGGAGGCAGTTTGGAATCACCATATGTAGTGGCTCAATACCTCACACCCTCAGAGAGAGAGGTCTTGGGATCTAGATGTCAGAGGATAAAGATCATCAGAATACATAGAAAATTCAGGAATGGTTCCTGTCTGCATGGGAGATAGGAAAATCTCAGAGATGTCATTGTCAGAAGGAACACGTCATAACATTTATATTCAGCTGTTTAAACATACGTATGAATGATGGGGTCCACACTAGTTTTTCTAACATGAGACAATGAAAGTCAGGTCTGAGCTATCCTTGATAATCATGTGCCCTGGTGCAATAGGATACAGTGATCTGAGTACAAATTGTGGTGGAACGAATGAATTGCACTTCCAAATTATGTGAGGACAAGCTGATGATCCTGAATCAGATGACAAGTAAAGGCATTTTTTTCAAAAAACTTTCATCTGAAGTTCATTCATTATTAAAATAAAATACAGCAAAATACTATCCCTTGACTTAAAATGACACCATATTAGACAAAGTCTATTTTCTACAGAATTTATGACACTAAATTGTGCTTTTGAGAGGACTCTTAATTTCTTAGGAAGACAAGTATATATACGGTCATTTTTAGTATGGAACTACATTGTTAAATAAATCTGGGGTAGATAGTAGAGGTTCAGGATACATTTTCAAAAAATGTGTCAGGGTACCTTATGATGTAGAGCAAGATCAAGGTATTCCACAAGATTCCAAAAGAACATAAAGTTTATAATATAAACACCTTCCAAAATTCTTGTCAGGTGGGACATAAGTCTCACAATACTTTTAAGAAGATTCTGGCATTTGAAGTGAACTTCCAGTTGCTGTGTGTCAGAAGAAAATGTGTAGAGCCACTTGGTCAGAGGGAGTAGGTATGAAGTATCCTCATGAAAAACAAGAAATTATGAATCTACCTTGCTGTGCAAGATATTCAAAGAAATATGTGTCAGACAACTTGATAGAAGGGAAAGCAGATATAGAACTTCCTAAAATGTGAAATAGGTAAGGCCCCAGATTTGTGGAGCACGATTTTCTAGGACACTCTTTGTGGAGAAAGTGTTTTAAGGCACATATTGTGCTTATAGATAAGCAATTGGTCCCTTCAAGTAGGAAGATTAAGTTCTCAGGACCATTTCATAATAGAGAGTAAGTCATAAGTCCCACCTTCTTCAATGTAACAATGTGCAATCAGGAAGATGAAATGGAGAAGAGCTGAATGGTGCCCTGGATGAAAAGGCAAGACCTGATTCCTCCCTTCATCAGTCCAGCAGACTGTGGCAATAATTTTAATAATGGTATCTAATGATCAAGTACAAGTGTAAGTTAGCTACTATAATTGTCTTTGATGATGAACAAATATTTCGACTCTGGAGGAAAATTTCATATAAGTTTAGGCAATATCGAATTACTTCCTGTGAAGTTTTCAGTAAAGAAGAGTCACCGAATTGCCTCTCCATCCAACAGTTCTTCACAGATTTGGATATCCATGATTTTATGAAATTTTGAAGATAAAAAGTAGTAATCTTAGTGTTTTTGAAAAGCTGGTGCTCTTGTGACAACCAAACTTCCTTCATAGTTCAATGTTCAACCAACCAAATGTGTATAGGAAAGGAAATTGCAATATTTCTTGGTACTGATTTGTTAGCATAGCCTCCTGTCCTCCATATGTTCAGTGAGATTGAAGTTGGCGAACACTAACTAGAGTGGAATCCAGTAGTGAGAACTGAATACCACATTGTACATTAAACAGAGGAAGAATGACTGAATATTCCAAAATGTATTTGAGGAGATAGATGTAAACTGCATTATGTCAGACATAAAAGCCTCTTGAAAAAATCATCATAAAAGGAATGTGTCAGGGAGCATAAAAAAGTAAAGTACTATGATGTTGTAGAGAATTACAAAGTGATCCAAGTCAATTTTAATGGGATAAGGAAAGGGGACTTATTTGCCTCACCACATTCCATAGCCAAATATGTTTCCTCCTCTTCTGTGCTTCCTAATTTTGATTCAAATTAGTAATATTCTTGTTCTTTTTAATTTTTTTATTTTAATTTTAAATAGCTTGTTTTACATGTCAATTCCAGTTCCTTCTCCTTCCACTCCTCCCACACCCCACAATTCCTCCCCAGCCTCCCACCCTATTGCTAGTTCCTCCCACATAGGTGATATCTAGAATCTGTCATTTTACTCAGGGTAGAGTCCAGGCACTCCCCTAAGAGTCCAGGCTGAGAGAGCATCCCTCTTTGTGCTATGGGTACATGATGTCTGTTTGTATTCCGGGGATAAACACTGATCCACTGCTCAGGGCCCCATAGGTTGCCCAGGCCTCTTCACTGACACTCACATTTGGTGGGTCTGGATCAGACCAATGCTGGCCTCCCAGCTGTTGGTCTGGGGCCAAAGACCTCTCCCCCATTTAGATCAGCTGTCTCTGCTGGTTTTGCCATCCATTCTTTGCCAATTTGCTCATCACTCCTCTTTCTGTGTTACTGGGTTCATTGGGTTCAGTTCAATTCTTAACTCTGGGTGTTTGCCTCTGCTTCCATCAGTCACTGGTTGAAGGCTCCCGGATGGTTATTGACATCAAGTTTATTATCAGGAATGGACATTCGAGGTGGTCTCTCTACTATTACTTAGCTTGCCAATTGTTGTCATCCCTTTAGATCACTAGAGGTCACTCTGCTGCCTAATCTGTCTTCTAACCTATGATTCCCTCTTCCCCTTACTCTACCCCCCCACTCAACCTTGCTGTTCCCCCATGACCTACTCTCTCTTCCTCTTATCCCCCTCTCTTCTTTCCAGTTGCCACTTCACCCCACATCTCACTGTGTTCCCCATCTGTTCAGAGGATCTTGCCTCATTCTGCTTCTCTTGGGTACTTTGCATACTTTTAAGTTCTTTCCTGTTTCCCAGACTCTCTATCAGTGGAAGTGTAGACTGGCACTATCCTGATCCATGTCTAAAATCCATATATGAGGGAGTCAGGGAGTCCAGGAAAGCAGCTGTTCTGGCCTGTGTTCCAGTGCCTGGTCCTCGCCTGGGAACTGCACAGAGTTTCCAATCCTGATGGGAGCTAAGCACCCCAGACACTAGGTCTTCTCTCCCACCAAAGAAACCAGGAAACCAGAGTAGCCAGGGAGACCAGGGCAGCAGCTGTTCTGGCCAAAGGATCAGGTACAACAGGACACAGCATAGGGTCCAGGGGACGAGGTAGGAGAATAAGCGCCCCAGATTCCTGTTCTTCTTCTCCACCCACGGGACCAGAACAAGGACAAAGAATAGAAGAACCACCAGATTATTGGACTTGTTAGCACCCACCAAAAGGG